ACGACAACAACAACAACAACAATAATAATAATAATCAATGAGACTAATTAAAAATAATTTGCATTTTGTTATGACAAATGCTCATTTAGATAGCCTCATGATGGTTGGAATACATCGTGATAGCGGAAGAAACCTCGACCATGACAGCGTGGTTGACAGATTTCATGCAAAATTTCCAAAATATAGAATTTCACTTTCAAGAATGAGGATTTAAAAATAAATTTGATGGTTACATTGCATACTCTTTGTTTCTTGCTTTATTCAAAATGTTTTGGTTTTGGAAGCTGATTTCAACATTAGAAAGCATAGCCTACATGTAGTCATATTAACTCGATGCCTATCAAATAAGTAATAAAAATTCGCCATAATTCATCAAATATCCGTGGCTTTGCCCCCTGGATCCCCACTGGGGGCCCAAGGCGCCCCCCCCCCGGCAGCCAAGTGAGACTCGATTCGCTCCACTAGCCCCCCCGTCGGGGCCTTTAGCCCCTCCGTCAGGCAGGTCCAGGCGCCACCACTGATACCACGCAATCTTAGCGCATGCATCCACCCCTTGTGGCTCACATAAACTGGGGCCCTGTACCTTAAATATGTAGGCCTACCATATCTTAAAATGTCTGCCCATCTGATACCTTTTTTAAGGCCTACTAATGTAACCCCTATTTTTCTTCAAGGCCTACCAATGCGATTCCATCAATTTCTTATATATGCTATATGCAGATGTACCAAGTTTCTCTTTGTCAAAACCTTTCAAAATCACAATTTAGGAAATCTTATGCTGTTAGAGGGCGGCAGACCACTTTTACTTAATCTCACAAGATACTAAGAATCTGTTGTATAGCTAATTAGATCTTGAAAGTTAACAGCGACAGCCTCAGGGATGAACTCATGAACTTCCTTTGAAGTACAAAACGTCTGCCAAAGAAACATTCATAAGTGTGCAATTTGTCAATCATCAACAACTGACAGGCCTGCGATAGTCACAGTGATTTCATACATGATGTCAGAAATAGTTATTAATCTATTTCCTTTTTATAGTTATTTTTCTGTACTTAACCCCAAAATAAATCATGATCATCACATCATGTAAAATAGTTAAGTATTTGAATTGATTGGATTTATACTTGGATTTTCAAAAAGCTTTTATCCTACAGCTATCAGGCCGGTAAATAAATTACTTTTTTTCCCTTTTATCCTTTTGTAACTTAATTTATAAGTTTTGTAATTGTAATTTTGTAATTTAAGCGAGCATCACAATTTTTTACAGAATGGATCTTATCATAATGAAATTTACTTTCAACATCAGTGCTTTTGTATTGTAATTACTATCATAATCAATAACAATAATAATTATCCTAAATGTTAATAAATATTAGAAATTCTAAAAAAAAGGTTCTAAAATTCAATATTTATTGTGGTTGAGAATCGGGCTCAACGTTATATTCGGAGGTTCGAAACGGTCGCTGTAAATTTTGCTTGTGTCCTTTGACAAAGCACTTTATCTAGGAGAATAAATGGGTACCTGGTATGTTAAATAAACAAATGCGCTGAATATTAATATTTCTGCAACAGTATGGTATCTTCCATAAGTATTTTTACTAGGGTAATACTAATGTGAGAAGTGCGTAGAGTGAGGGCTCACTCACAGTGAAGGCGCATCTTTGAATTCAGTCTATTCCAAATAAGGAGTTGCAATGATTCCAAAATGTGACTCACGAATAATGACAATACATTATAATTTTTTTCCTCAACATGTTTTTCTCTATGACATTTAGGCCTACAGTACTAGATTTGGTTTTGGTGCAGAAGCAAGCCCTCTGAGAATAGGCCCAGTTAGCATCATGATAATGGAACTTTAGCTTCCATATCTACCAATGTTACTGCACACATTTTAGGCCACATAAAACCAGACCCCAACATGGCCTGTGGTTCCTATTGTAATTTTATCTTCAATATTTGGAATGTTACATGTATTGTTTTATACATTTCATATTTTCATGGGATAGGGTTACGTTCAGAACAGATTGGTAAATAATAAAAATTATTTTTTATAAAAGAAGCAAAAATTAATCTTTGTAATATATTCTGCTATAAATGCTTTGACAAAAATCTTTCAGATTCATCATTATTTTGATTTTCTATGCAAAAATGACTTTTTTAGACTTTTATGAGGTTCCAAAAATTTTATGAGGGCAGGTAAAACTTGAAATAATTGGTGTTTCGCTACACTAGCGGATCACCTCTTTGTATTGTCAGGATCATCTTTTTGGTGATCCACTAACGTTAGCGGATCACCTATTGTTATTGTCAGGATCATCATCATCATCTTTTTTTTATTCTTCTTTCTTTCTCCCCTTTTCTGTTCGCACGATATCTCAAAATTGCCACGAGTTACGCACACGGTCGCTACATCGATCATTTTGTCTTCGCCTGGAATAGTCACGGTAAGGTTTTCAACGCGCTCAGACATGCGTGACGTCATCTACGTGCAATTTTGCGTTTTTACATTATCGATCATATCAGCCTAACCAATTGCCATTTTGAAATCGTATTAAGTGAGCATTAACTTTGGGTTAATGTTGAATGTACAGTACCCTAATTTGACACGTGCGCTTATTAACGCGCGTGCGTCAAAATTTCAAAATGCTTAAAATCACTTTTTGACTAACTTAGAGCACGTATTAGGACATTTTGAGCATTTCAAATTTTTTTGAAATTTTCCACTACGCACGTGCATTTTTACGTGCGCAGCACGTACGAAAGCTAGAAATTACGTTA